ATTATATCACAGGAGAGAGAGAATATAGTTTTAAATTAAATTTACCTTTGAAAAAAAATAATAAAGAATATAAAACTTGTCTCCAAAAGGCAGAAGTAAAATTGCACGCACCTGGGAGGGTCGGACACTTGTCATCACCTGAATGTTATTCTTTTACTTGTGGTATGTTGTTGATGAGTCAGATGGGCACCAGGTCCTTTCTGAATGTCTTGAAAGATGGACAGTAAATGTTTTTGTTTTGCTTTGGGTTTGTTTTATTTTGTCTTTTATCCTTTAAAACAGTATTTCTCAATGTGTGTAGCCTTGAATTTTTTGAAAGGATAATTGTTCACTGTAACATGCATTGCATGATGTTTCATACTCCTGGTATCTACTTATTAAAATTCTGATAGCTGGTTCCCATGTTTTTAATAAATTTTTTTATAAAGTGACTCCAAACATTTCCTAATGTCCCTAGGAGGGTTGAGAACTACTATGAGGTTTACACTTATCTGTTCCCGATGAATGAAAACTTGAGGGGCGACATGGGGCATGTGACCCTTGGAGAACCCAGCCTTTCGGTAAGGTGCTTTGGCCATTTTCCAGCTGAACATTTTTTTTTTGGTCCTCTAGGGAAAAAGTCAGGCTTGAAAAAATATCACTGGAAGGGAATTGTATAAAAGACTTAGGCCACTCAATTCCCAAGGGAGAGGAAGAAATGTCATGGGGAGCAGTTCATTTCCACATTTTCTTAAATTTACAACCCGTAATACTTTACCGAAAGGTGAGGGGGAAGTTGCTTTCCAGCATTACAAACTACAACACACTTATATTTGAGCACCATGATCACTGTCCATTGTTTCACAGCTGGAAGAGAGGACAATCACCTTGCAACCCTTGTGCAGATGTCAACATTTTTCTGCAGAAGGCCAGATGCAAACATTTTAGGTTTTGTGAGACAAACCTTTTTTGTCACAACTACTCAACTGTACCATTATAGTTCAATGAAACCAAAGGTGGTATATAAGTGAAGGGAATGGTGTGTTCCAATAAAACCTTATTTATAGGCCTGGTGCAGTGGCTCACGCCTGTAATCCCAGCAATTTGGGAAGCTGAGGCAGGCAGATCACCTGAGGTCAGGAGACTGAGACCAGCCTGGCCAACATGGTGAAATCCTATCTCTACTAAAAATACAAAATTTAGCCTGGCATGGTGGCAGGCGTCTGTAGTCCCAGCTACTTGGGAGGCCAAGGCAGGAGAGTCGCTTGAACCCAGGAGGCAGAGGTTGCAGTGAGCCGAGATGGTACCATTGCACTCCAGCCTGGGCAACAGAGTGAGATTCCATTTTAAAAAAAATTTTTTTTAAACCCATATTTACAGATATGTACCTTTTATGTCACAAAATATTATTCACTAATTTAATATTTTAAATGTTTAAAAAAATGTAAAAACCATGCCTACTTTCTATACCCATCCTACAAAATAAAAAGCAACAGGCCAGATACAGCCCATGAGCTACAGTTTAACACCTGAACTTGAATGGCCACCTGTGGACTAGCCTTAGCCAAGTTCACCAGCTCAGGTGCCACTATTGCTCAAGAGACTTGGCTGTATTTGAAGGATTAAGGAGGAAGGGATCCAAGATCCCTAGTAACATAGTGACTAAAGAATAGGTGATCCCAATAAAGAGCTATGTATACAATGTGGTGTGCATATTTTAATCTTTCACTTCTGTGCACAGGAAAATTTTTACCCATTTAAACATCTTAACAAATTTTTGTCTCTTATAAAAAAAAAATGAGAGGAATGGTGTGAACAAAGCTATTTGTCTCTTGAAGTTAGGAATCTTTCATTAACATGCTTAGAAAAATATTTAGTTGCAACAGTACTTAGGAAGAAGCAAAGAGGAGTATCTCACCAGGTTTTTGCCTAAAAATTTAGCAGAAATATTGTGGTGTGTAGGGTTAATTTCAAGTTAAATGCTGCATTGGGTTTTGCTGACTGAGACGTATATTCATGAAAATAGTTTATCTCCCAAGCCTCTGCTTTTCTTAATTTTTTTTTTTACTATTTATTATTTTTCTTCTTAAGAGCAATAACATACTTTTTTAAAAGTCTGCTTCAAAACTGTCACAATTATGTTACTCATACCTACTCTCAAAAAGCTAATAAAATAGGTGAGAGAATAATTAAATACTTCAAATATGTATTAAAATGATCAGCCTGTTTGCACAAGAACTCTCTATGCTAATTCTCTTCCTTTTATATAAGTTTGAAAAGTTTTTGTTTTGCTGTTGTTTTTGTTTTTTTAAGATGGAATCTCTGTCGCCCAGGCTGAAATACAATGGCACAATCTAGGCTGGCTGGAACATCCACCTCCCGGGTTCAAGCGATTCTCCTGCCTCAGCCTCCTGAGTAGCTGGGACTACACACACATACCACCACACCAGGCTAATTTTTGTATTTAATAGAGACAGGGTTTCACTATGTTGGCCAGGCTGGTCTCGAACTCCTGACCTCAGGTGATCTGCCTTCCTAGGCTTCCCAAAGTGCTGGAATTACAGGTGTAAGCTTCCATGTCCAGACATTTGAAAAGATTTTAATACAAAAATTAAAAAGAAAAACATATGATCTCTTTGTCTTCTTTCTCTTTTATTCCTTTGTATACAGTCATTCATTAAATCTTGTTAATTTTTGGCCTAAATGTCCATCTGCATATCACAAATTACTCCAATTATTTAGAATTCTCATTTTCCTTTTTATCTTATTTATTAACTTCTCTCAATATCTAGTCTAATTTCTTTAAATACTGCATGTGTGTCGAAATGCTTCCTTGACTCCCTGACTCTTCCCCCAGATTGACCCTTATCCCAAACACTTTTACCTGCTGTTTATATAAATGCATCAATATCCTCTCCTATTTCCTCTCTCATCTTCTCTTTTTTAGTAGAAAATATTTTTCTTAGCATCCTTTAGGACTAAATCTTTCTTACCTATATGTCAAAGCTCTATTTCTTAAATAAAATATTTCCTTAGTTCAAAGATAATTTTATAAAGGGTAATGTTGTGATTCATTCAAACATAAAATGACTACAGGCCAAATATTTTATTTACTCATTAATCAATAAGGCAGCCATGAGGCTGTAACAAGTAGTTTACAGAAGAATCCAGAGAAGAGATGCAAATATGCAATAAGAAATATTAAATATAGTTGCTAATAGAAGTAAAAATTCAATATATATGACAATAATGTAACTGCCTTTGCAAAAATTATAACTGAGACAATTATTACAGTGAAAGAGATGTGACCTCACTGACTCCATCTTGCTGCTAAACTCCACGCTGTCTTTCTTCATTCCTGGGCATAGGCCAAACTAACTGGCAGGAACTTAGGTCTTTTGGTTTAGCTTTGAAACAAAGACAGTAATACTCCTTTCCAAAAACAAACCCCCTTCCTTCCTGGGGACTAGACTGCCTTGCAGGACTAACAAATTAGCCACAAGATGAGAAATAGTCATTTGAGAGTCACATGCAGCTGGAGGCTGCAAGATTCTAAACCTCTCCAAATTGCTTCTGGTGATAAAATCACTATTGTAAAATCTGCCATGAATGCTCCAGATATTTTGCAGACCTTGCACTCCATGGATCAGCTGGCACAACCCGGATGGATAAATTGGCTCATCTGGTCCTGTGTCCCCCACCCAGGAACTGACTCAGTGTAAGAGGACAGCTTCCACTTCCTATGAGTCCACCTCCAACCTGACCAATCAGCATTCTCCACTTCCGGACCCTGTACTCACCAAATTATCCTTTAAAACTCTGATCTCCAAATTCTTGAGGGGATTGATTTGAATAATAACAAAACTCCAGTCTCCTACACAGCCAGCTCTGTGTGAATTACCTTTCTCTATTGCAATTTCCCTGTCTTGATAAATTGTCTCTGTCAAAGCAGCCAGTAAGGTGAACCTGTTGGGCAGTTACAATAAGCAACTGGAAATACATGAACAAAGTTCATTTCCCTTACTAGGAATAATTTGCATTATTGTTAATTCTTTATCATTTACAGAGTTGTAAAATATCTTAAATGCAATGAATATGGCATACCCAGGGAAACAGATAACCCAGATGATTGCATAAAACAGAATGCCCAGTAATCTTGCTGTGTGTGTGCCCATTACAAAGTCTTTACAATTTTTCCTGACACTGAGTCACTTCTGATTTTCTCCCTTCCTTTTGAAATGTTGCCTGTGGCATGTACAGCAGTTTTGGTTCATCCCCTTCATAACTCCAGGGAGCTCGTAGGCCAGCAGCAGTGGTATCCGCTGGGAGATTGGTAAAACAAACATTCTCAGGCCATGCTCCAACCTCTTGAACCAAAACCTGCATTTTAACAAGACGATCAGGTCACTTATGTGAACATTAGAGTCTTGGAAATGGTGGTCTATACTACACCAACTAATGCCACTTACAAGCTGATGAACTTGCATTGTTCGCTATTTTGTTACTATATCTTATGTTTATTTCCAAAATCTTTAGAATATAGCTTTAAGTAAATAAGGAAATTGAATTCAATTAATTAATTAATTAAAATCTTTTCTCAAAATGAGGCAGATGCTGGCACCGTTTTCCATTACTAAATGTTCTTAAATGGCTTTAAAATTTATCTGTCGTCTGATACTTGTGGAAGCTACAAGACATAGCTGAGCTCACAATGCACTGGAAAAATGAATAATGGAATTTTTTTATTCCTTGAAATATTTAAGAAATGTGCTATAACACATTATTATATATAAATAAAAGACATATCAAATACTAAGGGAATAAAGATCAAGTAGGTATTTTACTAATTAAAGTTCCCAAATAGGAAAAACTGTACCTTGTTTTACTTAATGTATATGATGTTCTCAACAGTGCTATGTTCCTGAAGACATTAAACAAAAGAGTTTTGGTATCTCAGTCTTAGCAAGTCTGAATTGAGTCAATTCCACACATGAGCAAAATATACTTTTACAAGATTTATGGTGCTCTCTTTGGCAGCACATATACTAAAAAATTAGAATGATACAGAGATTAGCATAGCCCCTGCACACCGATACCATGCAAACTTATGGAAATATTCCATATTTTTTGGAAGAAAATATCCTGCTTTCTGACAGATTACCTTGAAGGAAGAAAAAAGAACGTATTTTTGTGGATTATTTACCAATCACACTGCACAAGCATTTATTTTAGTAGATTTTTAAAATAAAACTGCTAATGCCAAAGCTTTGCATTAAAATAAATGAAATAAAAATAAATAAACAATAAAAAAATTTATGAAGCAAAACTAAACTCAAAACCACCTAATATGTTCTTGTTAGGTTTAGACATATTGTTATTGGGGCTAACTATATTAGCAAAAAAAAAAGTTAGAGGGATAAATATCCATTTATACTTTCACACAGGAACACACTACAGGGAGTTGTTCTGGTTGAAAAGTAGGAATGTTTTACCATGAAAAAAATTGCATTTATTTTTAGTTTATCACAGGTTCAGCTGAACTTTCTCTCTCATGTAATTTGTTAGTTAGTAATCAAAGCTATTTCAAATTATGTTTCTTCCTAAAACAGTTAAACCATAATTTCTTTTTAATTATACATTTGTATATATATCTATAAATGGGTAGCTCATATATTTTTATTTAGGAAAAATTTTTTTATAGGAAAAGCTTCTTAAAAATTCAGATTTGAAGTGCCAAGTTCTATTCTACTTAAGGCTTATTTCTAAAGAGAAAGCAATCCAAAAATGAAATGCCAAGAAAGGTGTTTTTAGCTATTCAGTATCCAACAACCACCTCTCTGCCTGTACATAGGCTGTTTTCTCATAGATCCTTTAATATGACAGGAAAGGTGGGCCATAAAATTTTCTTTTCCCGTATGATCTTACAACAAGGAAAAAAGCAACATTTGCTGTGCAAATAATAATAAAGACTTAGGTTATCAGCTCTGAGTTTCATGATATGAATCTGACTTCCTGCTCTAGTCATTGAATTTCAATTGACATAAAACACATTGATCTATAATTATTGCTGTAATATGAAATTAAGCAACATAAATTACAATGCCAGCAGGTGAGGTGGCTCACACCTATAATCCCACCACTTTGGGAGGCCAAGGCAAAAGGATCACTTGAAGCTGAGAGTTCAAGATCAGCCTTGGCAGTATAGCTAGATCCCTGTCTCTACAAAGCATTAACAAAACAAAAAATTAGCTGGGTGTGATGGTGTATACCTGCAGCCTTAGCTACTCAGGAGGCTGAGACAGAAGGTCCCCTTGAGCCTAGGAGGTCGAGGCTGCAGTGAGCTATGATCATGCTACTGCATTCCTGGCTGGGCAACAGGGTGAGACACTGTCTTTAAAAATAAAAAATTAGAATGCCAACAATTAATGTTAAGGTTAATTTTATACAAGAAAAATATTTCATCAAGTATCACTTCAATTTTCACTCCTTTTTTTCCCAAAAACACAATCAAATTAATAAATGAATGAACTGTCCAAACCCTTGCAGTCAGTAATGATAGTTTTCCAACTTTCAAAACTCTTTATACTCATTTTGGACCTGCATAGTTTTAGAATGTACCCTGAGGCAAGCTTTTCTTCAACTGTTTTCTTAAAGTACAGGCTCCTGCTAGTTTTGGTTTGTGGTTGATCAAGATGCTCCCTCTCTTGCCCATTCCTGTTTTGGTGTCTCATTTTATATTTAAGGCTTTGACTCACGGAGCTTCCTGTTTTGTAATCGTCTGACTCACCAGGAGAGTGGAAATGAATATCAAATATCATGTCTTGAAACTTTACCATATCAATTAGTTTACCTTTACCCATACTGTAGGATTGAATCTTCAAGGAAGGATTTTGTGTGTGTGTGTGTGTTTTGTTGTTGTTGCTTTTTTAGGGAATTATTTCTAAATAAAAAGAAATTCTGTTTTTTTTTAAATTAATCTGTGGTATTTAAGACTCAACTGAAAGATGTAGGTTCAGTTCCAGATTGTTAAAATATATGGTTAGATTTTACTTACTCAAAGATTTTACCTAGAAGTCTTTTAGAGGTAAATAATTCCCACACTCAAAGCCTAATCTCCTTTCTCTACTTTTTGTCTACAAATCTTCTCTCTCCAGGTGGGTTCCTTGGTTCAGTAATTTGTACCATAACCTTTCATCCACTCAAAAATCTATATCCACATAAAGATGGATTATTAAGCATATGTACTTATAGATATGACATTCATAACAGAAAAAGACAAGCTTAAAATTCATAAAATGTTCGTCTTTTGACATAACCTCTCTCCCTTCCCCTTTCCCTTTTCATATTCCCCTCCCTCCTCCTCCCCATCCTTTCTATCCTTGGTATGATGAGTAGCTCATACTACAATTCAATTAAGTCTGAAATGACTGTCACTTACAGAAGATCTATTTTGTGTGAGCCATAGTACTATCTAAGGGTATATATAAAAGACATATACCCTTGAGGGTATATATCTTTCTGTCAGTGCCCATGAGAGACTTCATATCACATCATATACTCACAAATTATAGGAGTTAATACATGTAAAATGCTAAAGTATTAGCTAATAAATAAATAGAAAGCACAGGTAACTCCAACAGAGGCCCACTGTGAAAATTGTTATAAGTAAGAGTACCAAGTTTCTGTAAGAACAGAAAGATGAAGTTGAGGCCTACATGTGAACAACTTTTAATATTTATCAGTACAACTGTTTTAATTAACTTCACCATTAGGCTTTTATAACATTAAAATGTTTACATTTGCATGGAGATGGATATATTACAAAAAAATGACTCTCTAAAAATGTTGCTCTTTTTTTGTTTTTTTTTTTTTTGAGACAGAATCTCACTCTGTCATCCAGGCTGGAGTGCAGTGATGTGATCTTGGTTCACTATAACGTCCACCTCCCAGGTTCAAGCAATTCTCCTGCCTCAGCCTCCTGAGTAGCTGAGACTGCAGGCACCCACCACCATGCTTGGCTAATTTTTTGTATTTTTAATAGAGACAGGGTTTCAACATGTTGGCAAGGCTGGTCTCAAATGCCTGTCCTCATGGTCCACCTGCCTAGACCTCCCAAAGTGCTGGGATTATAGGCGTAAGTAGAGGATAGAATGAGGGCTTCCACAGGCTAGGAAGGGCAGGGAAGGGGAGAATGAAGAAGAATGAAAGAGAATGGAGAAGGTTGGTTAATTGGTACAAAATACAGTCAGATAAAGAAAGAAAGTGGAGCAAGACAGCTGAATAGAACCCCCAGGAACTCCAAATTGAACAATTATCCTTGCAATAAAGCACCCTCATAAGAACAAAAAATTAAGTAAGTAATCACAGTATCTGTTTTAAACATAGTAACAAGGAAAGAAGCATTGAAGAGGGTAAGAAGGAAAGTGTTATATTGCCTAAACCATGCCTCCAAACCCCAAATGCCAGGTAGCCTAGAATGGAGAGGCAGTATGTATGCTTGGAGGAGAGAGAACAAATTGACTGTGAGATTGGCATTGGAACACAGTGTTGCGCTTTCACAGCACATGAAATGACAGAGTTCTGCCAGTGACCATGTCGCAAACATCTACAAATATCTACAGACCCCTGGGCCGGCTGGGCACAGTGGCTCACGCCTGTAATCCCAGCACTTTGGGAGGCCGAGGTGGGTGGATCATGAGGTCAAGATATGAGACCAGTCTGGCCTATATGGTGAAACCCCATCTCTGCTAAAAATACAAAAATAAGCTGGGTGTGGTGATGCATGCCTGTAGTCTCAGCTACTTTGGAGGCTGAGGCAGGAGAATCACTTGAACCTGGGAGGTGAAGTTTGCAGTGATCCAAGATTGCGCCACTGCACTCTAGTCTGGTGACAGAGTGAAATTCCATCTAAAAAAAAAAAAAAAAAAAAAAGAACAACCCTGGGCCAGTGGAGAATCCTTGGTCCCAGCAGAAGGAAACTGAGTCTCAGCTCACTCCACCACCAGCTGATCAACTGATGAACGTGTCCTGTGACCTGGAATAAATTTGAGTGGCACTTGGACCACAAGGACTGCAATCTGTAGGCAAGCCCTTGTGCTGTCTAGGTCTTGAATGCAGTGGACTTGTGGTGTGACCCAGTATGACATCAGCTGCATTGGCCAGGAGAGTGCTTGTAGCATCCTTCCCCCAACTGTAGGCAGTGCAGTTGGAGGAGATACTGCTTCCACTTAAGGGAAGAAGGGGAAGAGTGCAAAGGACTTTGTCCTGCAATTTGGGTATGAACGCAGCCACAGTAAAATACAGCACCCAATTCCTGAAGCAATTGGATAACAGAAAGAAATAGAAGGCATGCAAATTGGAAAGGAAGAAGTTAAAGTATTCTTGTTTCCAGAAAATATGATCTTACATTTAGCAAAACCTGAAGACTTCGCCAAGAAAGTATTAGAACTGCTAGATTTAGTAAAATTGCGGAATACAAAATCAACATAAAAAATGTGTAGCTCTTCTATATGCCAATGGTGAACAATCTGCAAAAGAAACCAAGAAGGTAATCCAACTCACCATAGCTACAAAGAAAAGAAAAGAAAGCAACAAAAAAACAGAAAGTAAACTTAATCGAAGACATGAAAAAGAAAGAATTCGACAATGAAATCTATGAAACACTGATGAAAGAAATTGAAGGAAACCCAAAGGAATGGAAATGTACCTTGTGTTCATTGATAAATTGATTGGAGGAATCAATATTGTTAAAATGTCCATACTACCCAAAAAGATAGATTTAATGGAATCCCCATGAAAATACCATTGGCATTCTTCTTCACAAATATAGAAAAAACAATTCTATAGTATATATAGAACAACAGAAGACTCAGTATAGCCAAAGCCATCCAGAGCAAAAAGAACAAAGCTGGAGACATCACATTACCTGACTTCAAATTATACTACAAAGCTATGGTAACCAAAACAGCACCTTACTGGCATAAAACCAGACACATAGACCAATAGAAAAAAACAGAGAACCCAGAAATAAGTGCAGGCATTTATAGCCAACTGATTTTCAAAGAAGGTGGCAAGAATATACACTGGGGAAAGGACAGATTTTTCAATAAATTGTACTGGGAAAACTAG